GGCTCAAGTTCTGAGAGAGATGAAGGAAAACAGGCTACATGTACTAGGCATCAGTGAGTGTAGATGGACAGATTGTGGGAAGAATATTACCAGTACAGGGGAAGTTATTGTGTACTCTGGAAGAAGGGACAATCAACATCATGAGGGAGTAGCAGTCATACTAAGTAAAAATGCAGCAAAAGCATTAATAGAATACCATCCTGTAAATGAAAGAATCATTAGAGTAAGACTGAGAACAAAACCTGTCCAGACATCTATAATACAGGTCTATGCCCCTACAAATGAAGCAGAAAATGAGATTAAAGAGGAATTCTACGAGGCTCTACAGGCAGAATTTCAAAAAGTTCCAAAACAAGATCTGACGATCATCATTGGAGATCTCAATGCGAAAGTTGGAAGCGATAATGTTGGTTACGAAAGAGTTATGGGGAGGAATGGCTATGGAAGCATGAATGAGAACGGTGAATACTTCACAGAATTCTGTGGAAACAACAACTTAGTCATTGGTGGAACACTGTTCCAACATAAAGAGATACACAAACTTACCTGGGTGTCACCTGGAGGGAGAGATAAAAACCAAATTGACCATATTGCCATCAATGGAAAATGGAAAAGATCTTTACAGGATGTAAGAGTGAAGCGTGGGGCTGATGTTGGAAGTGATCACCACCTTGTTACTGCCAGCATAAAGCTTAAGCTGATGAAGGTAGCGCCAAAAAGCAACATCAGGCGAATAGATACAGGCAAGCTGAGAGAAAATAAAGTGAGGCAAGACTTTAGATTAGAGCTAAAGAACAGATTTCAAGCCTTGCAATGTTGTGATATTGATAATGAAGCGGTTGATGAACATTGGAGTGAAATCTGCAACCTGTTCAGTGAATCAAGCAAGAAGTGTCTAGGATTCAAAAGGCAAGTGTATAAGGAGTGGATTACACCAGATACTTGGAATATTATTGACAGAAGGAAAGGCCATAAAACCAAGCTATGTAATACCCACTCTAAAAGAATAAAAGAGAAATTAAGAGAGCAATATTCCAACTGCAATAGAGAGGTGAAGAAAGCAACAAAGAAAGATCGTAACAGTTTTATAGCAGGCATTGCAAAAGAAGCTGAGAAAGCTGCTTCTGAACAAAGAATGGGAGATCTATATCAAATAACAAAAAAGTTGAGTGGAAGGAAAAGAAAAACAAATATGCATGTGAAGGACAAGCAAAGCAACCTCATTACATCCGAAAGGGAACAAGATGAAAGATGGAGAGAACATTTTGAAGAAGTGTTGAATCGCCCAGAGCCTAACGAACTGGCACACATACCCGAAGCTGACACTGACTTAGAAATTGAAACAGAGGTACCATCTAAAGCTGAAATACTCAAAGCAATAACAGCCCTTAAGAACAACAAAGCACCTGGAAATGACCAACTACCAGCAGAAATATTCAAAGCAGACCCTAACCTTGCAGCAGACATCTTACACTCATTATTCACCAAGATCTGGAATAGAAATGCAATACCAACGACATGTTCCAAGGAAATATCATAAATGTACTAAAGAAGGAAGATCTTACTAATTGCAATAACTGGAGGGGCATCACATTACTATCAATACCGAGTAAGATTTTCAGCAGAATAATTATTGACAGAATTAAAACTGCAATAGATGCCAAACTAAGACAAGAACAAGCAGCTTTTAGGAAAGGGAAAAGTTGTTGCGACCAGGTGTTTAACCTACGAAATATTATAGAGCAATGTACAGAGTGGCAAAGGCAGCTTATAATAAACTTTATAGATTTCGAGAAAGCCTTTGACAGTATCCACAGGGAAAGTCTATGGAAGATCTTAAGACATTATGGAATACCATCAAATATAGTAGAACTGATAAAAGCTTTTTACGTGGAGTTTAATTGCTCTGTAGGCAACTCATCAGATACATGCTTCATAGTAAAATCTGGCGTGAGGCAGGGATGTGTGATGTCAGCTCTCTTTTTTGTAATAGCAATTGACTGGGTAATGAAATCAACCCTAGATGGAAATAACACAGAAATAAGATGGACACTCTTTACCAATCTTGAAGACCTAGACTACGCAGATGACTTGGCCCTACTATCACATCTGGAAAAGCATATGCAAAGTAAAACAACAAAACTACAGGAAAATGCAGAAAAAAATTGGCCTAAAAATCAATACCAGGAAAACTGAAGTTATGTCATTAAACACCAAACAACAAGCAAGAATACAGGTTGATGGAAACGACTTGGGTAACACAACAACATTTACCTATCTTGGCTGCATAGTAACATCGGATGGGGGTGCAGACAAAGATATAAAGGCCAGATTTAGCAAAGCCAGAGGTGCCTTCATCAACCTCAAGAACATCTGGAAAACGAGCGACATAAGCAGAAGGACAAAAATGAGAATATATAACAGCTGCGTACTGTCTGTCCTACTCTATGGGTCAGAATGCTGGAGAATGACAGAAGGAGACATATGCAAACTCTCTAGTTTCCACAATGGATGCCTCAGAAAGATCATGAGGATTTTCTGGCCAAATGTGGAACTACATGAGGAGGCCAACACAGATATTATGCGTACTTTGTTAACAAAACGGAGATGGCGATGGATAGGGCATGTGTTGAGGAAACCAGCCGAATGCATCACCAAAGTAGCCGCTCTTAGATGGACACCGGAAGGGAAGAGGAAACCTGGTCGGCCAAAGAACACCTGGCGAAGGACGGTTGAAAAAGAAATGAGGGACCACAAACTAACGTGGGGAGAGTTAGAAAGAAATGCTAAAGATAGAGAAAAGTGGAAAGATCTAGTTCTTGCCCTATGTGCCCACGGGCATAACAAGGACTAGGTAGGTAGGTAGGTCAAAGCTATAACGAACAGCAGACTTCACAAAACTCAGTTTCCCCGAGAAAGTAAGAAGTGTTGAAAAATGTAAGAACGAGGGCATGTCATTGTGGACTTGAAGATGGCAACAGTTTCTCTGATACGTGTATTTTTGCTTTCAAGTTCGATGTGGACCATATCCTGTAAGAAAGAAATTCAAATTTTATCAAAATATGCTTTTCACTGGCTGGATTTGTATTAACCTATTCTTTTTTACATGTTTGATAGCTATTATTGTGCTACTTTTATTGAACCTCGTCTATCATGTCTATATAACCACAATTAGTATTGATACTGTTATAGATACATGTATTATTGATATTCTATATAATGTACTCCTTGCTAGATTTCAGGAATACAAAATATAACCGAAGGTAATCTTGATCTACAGCTATGTGCAAACGCATGTCTGTTTACGTAGCCCATCATGGTCAATTTATGTAAAAAAAAAATAGTTATCATACCTTGTATCGCAGTAATGTTGCAGTTTAAATGCTTTTCACAATCTCTTCATGGTTATCATTTTGATAAGCATTCACTTCCTTTAATCCATCTTCTTTAGCTTACATTGGAATTTCCTTTGTTTCGAAAACCGCTCTATTTATCATTCGAATACATATGCGTCATTTCCGGGAAGATAACTCTGCACTTCACAGAAAAGTGTTCAATTTCTAAACACTTATATCTAAACATGTGTTAAATCTTAACATCATTTAGATATAACACACCTTTAGACCTAAGTGTTTAGCCGTTAAACACAATCTTATAATTTAATATAATTTAATAAATTGTTAAATTGTCTGTTTAGAGAGAGAGAGATAGAGAGAGAGAGAGAGAGAGAAAGAGAGAGAGAGAAGTGTGTGTGTGTATGCTTCCAAACCCCCATCCCTGAAACACAAGCACGAAACTGTGCATGCAGTGTTACCCTATCAAATGTTATCTAATTTCTTTTCCATATTACCGGTATACTCTTCTTCATTGAATTGATAGATAATGCATTTCTTTTCTCTTTTTCGATTTATAAAGAGAACTTTTTTCTGTGTTTTTTTTAATGCCAGCCATTCATGGTCTGCATTTGCATTTGATCTACTTGAAAATCAAGTTTTTCGCATGTTTTTAAACATGTGGATTGCATTTAATTTTTTCCCCCTTTTATTCATTCAAACACGAATCCTAAATAATGCAGTGATCTAAAGTATGTGTGGATTGGAGGGCAAGACCAATTAAAAAAATATTCCTGTCGTTTCATCTCGCAAATACCATAAGTTCAAGAAAGCTATATTATTTTTTCTCATCTTTTAGACATCAATATAATTATAACAATTTTTGTCCACAAAATGTTTTTTTTTTAATTTATTTACACAAATACCTTACTTCTGGGACCCTTAAGAACGCAGACCTAGTTTGCCTATTTTGTTTATAAATATTTTTTTTTCGTTCAAGGAAACGATCATATATGTGCGGACAGATGATTATGAATAATAATTATTAAACAATAACTAATTCTCGGGATGGTTGGGGCCAACTTGGGGGACAGCTATTCACAAACATTGAAATTGTACAATACGTATTTGTAATAGTTTATCGTCTCTATATATCTCTCTCACTCTTTAAATGAGTAGTGGATTCGATTAAAATACATCAGATTATGGGGAAATATTTCAAAATAAATATATTTATAGATATTCTTAATGAATATTCTCCGCGTGTTTACACCTATTTAGGTATTTAGACTTCACCTTTAACAACTCCTTTCGTGTTTTTAGACATTGGAAATACTTTACAGTTATTTCCCTTTCCCACGTTAGTTTGTGCACATGGCATGGCTAGGATATATTGAACTCTGAGCTCAAATTAAACAATTACAACCCATATATTGAAAATGGATCTGAACTGCACACACGCTAAAGGAGTCTGGCGAAGAATCTACCGGATATACTTTAGATGAAAGAACATCCAATGATGGAAATTGTCTCTTTTCAGTCACCGAGTCAGTCAACACAGAACACCTGAATTTGGTAAGATTGATTTATTGTTTTCATTTTTAAAAATAGCTACTATTTTATTACATTAATATTGATAAAATACATATGAAAGAATGCTGCAAAACACAAACAGCATACCGAGAATCAAATGTTTATAGAGTTAATTAATAATAGTTTATGCACTACGGATTCACAGTCAATTGTTCATGGGAATGCACGTGTTGCCATAACTACAAGGACTTCTTCTTGGTCAGCTTTGCTAGGGGAATGTCACTGTCTGAGTCGCTGTCGGGCTCAAAACCTCTGTTGTCTACTCCACTGAAATTAAGGGAAAAACAAAATAAATATAGGGCATCATTTTCAAAAATTCAATCAGTAGCTAGGTGTTTTCTTTTTAAAATAAATTTTGTTTGATATTTCCTTGGTAAATTTTAAATTTGTATTCAAGTTTGAGTGTCTGATTTTTGTTGTTTTTTTTTTTTAGAGGATGCAGTACTTAGCTTTATTCCTGTTAAGTACTGTACATGTACATATTTATTTTTTAAGTGCACATAATGACAATTCAGATTTTCTTTCAAGCAAGCAAAAGCCATTTATTTTTTTTGATTTCATAAAATTAATCCTTTTATGTTCATGATTTAAAACACTTTTAATCTAATAATTGAAAGTTCATATCTCAAGACAAATGTTGTTCATGTCAGTTGCAGCTAATTAAACTGGTAAACATCGTGAAGAAAATAGTGGAAGAATTTTTACATACATTTCCTCTGTATCTTGGAGAAGCAGCACATTTTCCTTGTTGGAATGTTGTCGCTTCCGTTTCATGAGTTTCCAAGCAGATTCATGATTCTTTTGTGCTTCTTCTCTATAAACAAAATAACAAATTAAGGAAAAACAGAAACACAAAACACATGAATGCATATAACATATATTTAAGGGCTACAGACTGAGTAATTAATATTACATTGAAATTTGTTTAATTCTGAACAAACTTATAAATGTAGTGTTTAATCAGGCGTAAATTGCTCAATTTTATTTAGAAAATGACCGGTAAAATGTTACTTGTTTAAAAACCTTAATTTTAATTTATTGATTGATTGATTGTATACTGTTTAACGTCCCTCTCCAGAATATTTCACTGATATGGAGACGTCACCATTGCCGGTGAAGGGCTGCAAATTTGGGCCTATGCTCGGCACTCAGGGCCATTGAGCAGGGAGGGATCTTTATCGTGCCACACCTGCTGTGACACGGGGCCTCGGTTTATACGGTCTCATCCGAAGGACCGCCCCATTTAGTCGCCTTTTACGACAAGCAAGGGGGTACTGAGGAACTATTCTAACCCGGATCCTCACGGGAAAATAATTTAAAGATAAAAGCTACCTCTTTTTTCGCATAATATTTCTGCCACTGCATCGCCTTTTGAATTCTTTTCTTTAATTTCTGGCAATCAACGGTGTAGTTGGGGAATTTCTGGGATATGATGACCTAAATTTATAATTGTATTTCTCCATGAAATGAAAATATAAGGAACCACTGTCTAGTTAGTAGAGTATGCCAGAGACAATAATGAAAACTGGAAACATGGGATAATTTATCAGCAGAATCATGATTATATGTTTGATTTCCATTAACAGAACTCTTCAGAATTAAAGGAGCGCTTAATTATCATCAAAGTGCACATGCCTCGAAAATGTAATCTTATTCTTCTCAGTATACAGTGATTCCTTAAGACCTAAACTATATTTGAACATGTTTAAACCATTTCTGTCATTTTGTTTATCATTCTTATTGAGAACTATGAAGTATAACTGGTTTATAATTTACCTGTACCACACCATGCTCAAATGTCCCCTTCTTCCACATGTTGTCCGCATCTAATGTCTCCTGTGGAAACTCAAAGTTGTTGGTTTGGGTAGATTCATTGGATTTAGGTTGGTTACAGGAACACACGGTTCCCATACTTAAACGAGCACAACACACACACTGAAATGTACATTTTTGCACGGGTTGGTTGCCTTGATGCACAGAGACACCTTGTATACTAGGTCCAAGATACTGATAAGTATAGTCAGAGTCACTAAAAGTAAGGGTGTTGAAACTGGAAGAACTCATCTTGGCGTAACACTTGAAGGCTCCTTTTTACAATTTGGTTTGGATTAAAAGTGAAATACAGGACCTCACTATTAAATACTTGCAGTACTACAGTGTTTTCATAGAACAAATTAACATCTCAATGTCAGAGGTTGTTGTGATAACCAGGTACCCCTTTTGTTTTTTTAGCAATCAACAGATCATTCTGATAATCTTTGATACAGGATAATTAAGGTCTTCCGTTTCCAATGGAAGACCTTCTACTGATTCTGATTATTAAGATTATTCTTATTATTTTTTTTTCCTAGACGCCAACTTTGAGGCCTCGTATCTCGTTCATTTTTCAATGGATTTTGTTCAAATTTTCAGACATTATAGACGGTAATAAACTCTATCAGAATGCTGTCAATAATTTCAAAAAGTCACTTCCGGTTTTGAGTTATTTCCCTTTAAACGAAAAATTATAGCCTTTCAATTCCAGACAAAGGCTCAGAGACCACTAGAGCTGGAGCAGAAATTTTACTGGTTTTAGATAACAGAAGGATTGAAGTTGTGCACATCGGTTTTTGTTTTTCGATTTCTCTATTCAAAATGGCGCTATACAGGGGTCAAAAAATAGAACGCCTAAAAGAGCGAAAATTTACACATGTTTTCCTTTTTATCTTGAAAACTAAAAATATTTTGTTAAGACATGTTGAATAAAAGTTGTGCATAATTGCAAGAGCTTTCATTTGATATCAATAAAAAGGGGCTGGCCCCTAAAATTAGGGATCTAGTGCCCTTGAAAATTTTTTCTATATATTTTAAAAACGATTAATATTTCGAATGACTTTTGATAATAAAGTTGTGATTTAACATCTTACTGATCTTATGAAATTGTTATTTTGTTCTAGTCTTGATTAAAATATGTACAGGTAATTCTTTTCGCTCAGCTCGTAAATGAGAGTTTCTCATGCGTGTATATAAAACAAACTTACTTTAAATAAAAATCATGGCTACATTGGATGCTAATATTCTTTAGAATAAAGTTCTTGAAGTGTTTTGTGCTTTTTTTTCCCCAAATTGTCATGCTTATTTACTAAGCGCACGACTTTACATTCACCTTGTTTGTTTACAATTATATAACGCGCCTCCCTCGATAACGTGGGGCAAAGTCAGTCACCGGGAATCAATCGGCGGGTAATCCAGCGACCCACAGTTATACACAAATAAAAACACAGAATGGTTAAATTCATTTTTATAAATGTATTAAATTGTTGCTTAATACTATCTCTGTCCTATGAAAATATTAATTTGTTCGAGTCTTGCGTATTATAGGAAAGAAAGCTAGACGGTGCTATTGAAGGAAAACTCTTAAGTTTTTATGCGTAGAATTGCAGTAAACTTGCCAGAAGTAATAAATATTTAACAACGCTGTATCATATCTCTTTTTTAAAATTAGGTTTTAAACGTGTTCCTTGGTTCCCGTTCCGAGTATTCAATGGCATCATTTTCATTTTATTAATCAAGATCTTTCCAAGAGAAAGAGTTATAGAATAAGCACGAACTAGTATCTTTTCTTCGTTTAAATATGAACACAAACAATATCAACGAAAACGATAAACGCCCGGATCTAATAAAAAGAACTTTTAAAGAGTCAAATAATACAAAAATTATTTACCGCGCGATTCTCACATTCACCTGGAACCCAGATTTTAAGCGTGTGTACCATTGCGTAATCTTACGATTACACGTGTCGAAGAAAATCTAAAGCGACACACCGCGGCGAACCATTGACCCTGTAGTCATAGACAAAATAATTGGTGTATTAAAACTATTTTACACTTAATTAAGGTCTTCCGTTTCCAACGGAAGACCTTCTACTGATTCTGTTGGTAAAGATTATTATTCTTTTTTTCTTCTGCTTCCTAGACCGCAACTTTGAGGCCTCATATCTCGCTCATTTCTCAACGGATTTCGCTCAAATTTTCAGACGTTATAGACGTTAATGAACCCTATCAGAATGCTGTCTAAAATTTGAAAAAGCCACTTCCGGTTTTGAGTTATTTCCCTTTAAAGGAAAATTTATAGGCTTTCGTTTCCAGACAAAGGCTCAGAGACGGCTAAAGCTGGAGCAGAAATTCTACTGATTTTGGATAATAGAAGGATTGAAGTTGTGCACATCAGTTTTTGTTTTCCGATTTCTCTATTCAAAATGGCGCTATATAGGGGTCAAAAATTAGACGCTTAAAAGAACCAAAAATTACTCATATTTTTCTTTTTATCTTCTAAACTAAAAATATTTTGTTAATATATATCGAACATAATTTGTGCAGAATTAGAAGACCTTTCAAATGATATGTCGAAAAAAGGGCTGACCCCTAAATTAAGGGACCTAGAGGGGCCAAAAGTTTTTTCTAGATATCTCGAAAAGTATTGAGAATTTGTTATGCATCATAGAAGCAAAGTTGTTCAAAATATCAAGCTTTATCTAATGGGGTCGTCAAAATACGTCCAGCGTCGTCACTTCTGGTCGAACCGGAAGTAGTTAGAAAATGCATATTTTTGCCGTTTTTGACAGGTTTTTGGGTAACATGTGTCACTAGTAGCTTAAATATTAATTTTCCGTCCGACGTCGTCACTTCCGGTCAAACCGGAAGTACCAATGAATGGCTTAATTTTGCAATTCTTAACATAGATTTGGAGGATTAACCCATTTTAAGACTTCATAACTCTTTTTTTTAAAAATGAAAGTTACTTCCGGTCAAACAGGACGGAAGACCTACTCGTTGCTTTGCAACGAGCTCGGCTCTAGTTAATGGAAAATTATTATTGTCGGATATTTGAGATTAATATGTTGGCTTATCTTTGTTTTAAATTTGATCGTGATACATGTTTCTAGCTATCTAGGCTTTGTGTTTGTTTACAATTACGCGACGAATCATGCCTTCCATCGCTTGTTGACATTAATTTACACAGCGTGGTCAAATGTTAAATCTAATTTTACAAACTTAAGGAAAACATTATTTTCTATAAGTAAATCGAATTTTTCACAAATATTTTAAAATATCTTAAGTTAGACTTTAGAACAAAACGCTGGGGTATTTATTTGATATGTACATTAATCAATCTTCAATTTTTATAGTTCGTTAGTTCAATGTGTAATTTTACTTTTCATTTTGACGATTCATAGTGTAAGGACTGGCGATCTGCAGTTACTTAACTTCAACCAATATTGATTTAAATGCACAAGCTTATATTTCTTTGTGCTTTTAACAAACAAATAAATCTGTTTACAACACAAATTTTCCCAAACACATTTTTTTTTATCACAGATTTTACCATGGCTATTTCATTTTTAAATTTTTAAAGAAAATCTTCATAAGGATCTAATTAGAATTATACTCAATGAAATGGACTAAACATCGATAAATATCTCCGCACCTGTAAACTTCATAAGTGACTTCTGTGCTTGCACAATGCCCATTTTTATTACAGGTTGAATAGTCTAGTTGAAAAAAATAATTCAAGATTTTAAAGCAATGAATTTAATTTGTGTGATAATTTATTCAAAACCTGTAAATGATTAGAATAGTGTGCTAACATTTTAATTTTGTTCTGTGATTTTAAAAATATCAGTAGCAGGTTATACAATGAACATGTAAGTAGTAATAAACCCGCATCGTATGTACGGAATCGAAAATTTAAGAACTTACATGTATATAGCAATCTGCAGCTACATGTACTGAATATCAGAAATTTATCATGTAATTACACACTTTTATTTCCTAATTTAAACTGTTGAAATCATAACAGACACCATAGTTAAACATTAATTGTCTTATAATCGGCACTTAATAGGGCCTTTGAGCAGGGAGGGATCTTTTTTATGCCAGCACCTAAAGCGACACAGGACTTTGTTTTATACGGTCTCATCGGAAGAACAGGTCCCCACGTCCCACAGTGGGATTCTAAACCACGACGTAAGGAGCTGATCCTTACCTCGCGACTATAGAACAGTCTCTCTAATCACTGCGTTATGCGGGCAACCTTGGGGGATATAAAATGAAAACAATGAAGAGAACGGTCAGTTAAAAAAAAGAAGGGGTCGTTTTGAATATTATTCTTATGACCTTCAGGGCAAGTATGAGAAACCATATTTATGAAAGCTTCCTGATTTAAAAAAGATAGAAATCATGACTAGAGTTTTCCCTTGCAAAGTGATTGTGTATTTTGGGGGGTAGTGGGGATGGGACGGGAATGAAACGGTCTGTTTAACTGTCCATATGTCTGTCTGTCCCTGAAAGTTTTTCCCAGAATGCCAGGCTATAACATAAAGAAACCAGAAGCTTGTACTCGAAACAAAGATTTCAAATTATCTTAGGATGTGTCATTGTATTTATTCAAGGCAATATTACGGGAAATTCAAGATCACTGGAGAAAGAATTAATGTTTTGTTGCATTCATTTATATGTAATCGAGAATATCTGTAAGCTCATACTTGATACAGAGATTGCTTATGATAAAAAGGGTTTTTTTTACGATTTGGACTCAGAAAATAGTATTTTTTTAATTCTGACTATATTTGTTTAAGTTCATACTTGATCAATTGCTTATAGTCCGCCGGTTTTCAGATGACTTAAATAAGGTCATTTTAACAAATTCAGGGCCAATGACAGAAAAGTTGTAAAACACCTGTCAGAGTTATGAATTTCTAAAATTTGTTTCAGATTGAGGGTTTGTCTTGACAAAGAGCCAAGGTTATTCTGTTAAAATCAAGGTCACTGACAGAAGAAATCTGTTCTCTTCCAGGTTATGAACTAGTAAGTGAAAATCATTGGAGGCTCTTACTTGAAACATAGATTACTTATGATTGGAGGTTGTGTCATGTCACCCTAATCAAAGGTCTTTCTGGCAAATCAAGGTCACTGAGAGAGAAAAAATGTTTAAGCATAACTTTGTAATTAAGATTCACTGGAGGCTCATGGTGAGAAGAAAAGGTTGTTTACATAAGAAAGTGCAGTAACATTGACCCAAGGTCG